CTTTTGTATTTTTTTTTATAAAATAAATTGTTATACAGGGATATGCAGGAATCCTGCAATAGTGAGCTACCCTGTATAACTGTTTGCCTATTTTTATGATGCCTTTTAAATATTGTTTCCAATTTCTTACATTATGTAGGCTCGCAACTGTTAATTGTAACAGATAATCGCCAAGTGTACGACACGCGCGATGAAGCTTTGATGTAACACGAAATAATTATTATTTACAAGCGACCTGAAAACAAAAAATTATTCGTAACTGTTTCGTAACGCCGAATGAAATTTAAGCAATATGTTAAGCTAAAGAAGTTATAATGATAACATCCCATATTAAACTTTTAGCCTTCATGTGTAACAACAAATACGTTTTATAACGCTAAAAAATATTTTTGTTATAAGATTACAGTTTACCAAACAAATTAAAAAAGAAAACGAGAACCCAAAAAAATGTTTTTACATGTCTCTCCTTGTATTCGACATCTCAAAACATAATTTTTTTTAAAACCTTAGGAGAGAGGTTATGAAATTTTATTTGCGCTTTTATAAAGGTATTTAAAATATATATATATATATTGGGTTGTTCGGAAAGTCATTTCGTTTTTTTTGGGGAACATGAAAGACAGTTTTCGTATAATGAATAAATATTTTATTAAATTATATATTGGCCATTCTGGTCCAACACCTTTTGCCATCTTTCTGGCAGTAACATAATTCCCCTCTCATAAAAGTTTTGGTCCTTGCTGGCAAAAAACTGGTTCAGGTGGTTTTTGACATCTTCATTTGAGGTAAAGGTTTTGCCATCCAAAAAATTTTGCAGGGACCGGAACAAATAGTAGTCAGAAGGCGCCAGATCTGGAGAATATGGTGGACGTTGCAGTACGTCCCATTCAAGCTGTAAAAGTTTTTGGCGAGTGACCAAACTTGTGTGAGGTCTCGCATTATCCTGGTGGAACACTACACCCTTCCTGTTGATTAATTCGGGCCTCTTCTCTTTAAGTGAATCATTCAATTTGTCCAGTTGATGACAATAGACTTCTGAATTAATCGTTGTACTGTCCGGCAAAAGCTCAAAAAAAACGATTCCTTTGACATCCCACCAAACGGAGAGCATCACCTTTTTTTGGTGAATGTTGGCTTTGAACACGCTTTGAGCCGGTTCATCTTTTCTGCTCCATGACCTCTTGCGTTTAACATTGTTGTATGCAACCCATTTTTCGTCCCCAGTAATAATCCGCTTCAAAAATGGATCATTGTCTTGACGTTTGAGGAGCGAATCACACACGTCAACGCGACGACACAAATTTCGCTCCGTAAGGACATGGGGCACCCACACATCGAGCTTCGAGGTTAAGCCCATGCCTTTCAAATGGCCATAAACAGTCGAATTCGACAAATTTAATCTCTCACCGATCTCTCGTGTGGTTATTCGCCGATATGCATCAACTAATGCCTTTATCGCATCTTTGTCAGCTTCGACCGGCCTTCCAGACCGTGGTGCATCTTCGACATCAAAATTGCCGGATCGAAATTTTGCAAACCAGTTCTGGCACTGGCGTACTGTTAACACGCCTTCTCCATACACATCCGTCAATTTTTTTCTCGCTTGGACAGCATTTTTACCTTTTCTGAAGTAAAAAAGTAAAATATGACGAAAATGCTGCTTATTGCTCTCCATATTTAAAAGGGCACCAACCAAAAACTACTGCGTAGAATTAATAGAACTTTTTCACACACAAGCCTTGCAATATCAGCTCTCAAGACATATAATGATTATGCGGCTTAAGTGTGAAGTTGGTTTCGAAAAAACGTAATTAAGTCCTCTGACGGGAAAAAACGAAATGACTTTCCGAACAACCTTATAGTTTTATATGGATTTCCAAGTAGTATTAAGGTGATTTTGGAATATCTATAGTTTTGGTTAGTAACGAATGTCAAATGTCAATTATGCAATCATAACCTCATTTTTCAGTTGTTTCTTATTTATTTGCTCTAGCCATGACAGTTTTATAGTAGTTTTATGTCATTTAAAACTTATAAATGTTTTAAGGAGTAAATTATGAAAATTCAGGAGTAAAACTTTTATACTAAGGTTTTTGGGAACCCATGTAAAAAAAAAACAAAGCAAACAACCAAAATTTATAATTAAAGTAACAGAAACGTTTTGAAACTTAAATTGCGCTATTTACAGGGTGTCCAGTACGTAATAATACATGATAAAATAGGAGATTCTTTAGGTAAAAATATTACCATTTAACGAAACTTGCCTCTCATTGATATTAAAGGAGATCACAGTCACAATTTCATTTTTGATTGTTTTAAATATTATCTGAAATAATCGAGTTTTTGCACAAAATTTGGAAAATCCGTTTTTTTCACACAAGAAGTCCATTGTGGTGAATCATTTTTGGGGCATCGGTCATTTTTCGGTATATATATAGTAGCAGGTAGTTTGTAAACATTACATTTCATAAGGACACGGTGTTGTCGAAACAATTCTCATGTAAAATTATATAATTTCGTGAAAATCTGGACTTTTAGTTCTTATTTTGAACTATCATATTTAATTTTACTAGAATATTATATATATTGTTTCTGTTACCGTTTTTTTAAGGCCTCGGGGACAGTTTTATTGTTAACTGTTTCGAGGTCTGAAATAAATTTAAAAAAAATATATATAACCATTTTGTAAATATCCGTTGCATTAAATCAAAACCGTAATATTAGTCGGGATGTTACTTATTTTTTATTATATATTAAACCGAAACGCACCTTCTACGTGGTTATGGTCGACGACCGTCAAAAGCGGATTTACGCCAGCCACGCGACGATTACAACAAATCATTATTATCTTTCGCGAAGTCGACATTTTTTTTTTAAACAAAAATATTGTTACGCAAAAAAACCTTGGCGAAATGAGGTTCGTCTCTTAGAGTATTGTTTATAATTATTAGCGATATACGTAATGTTTTGTGTTTTCGTGGAAAATCGTCCGGACGTGATTTTCTTTTTTTTTGTCTGATTGTATTATTTGTATGTATTTTTCGGTTTTCACCCATTTCTTCGTCGAAATTTCCGCGATCGCTGTCAGTTTTCGCTAAACGTCTTTCCTAAATTTCTTTTCTACCTCCGTAGTTCTCGGTGGATGTAATACTTGTTAAAATTTGACTTTTACTTCTCTGCTAAATTTGAAGTTGGTATCTGCAAATTTAGGATACTTAACACATTTCTCATTAAGCACGGAATATCGGGAACGTCCTGTACAATAGGTGAAAACCTTAACTACAAAAGTTTTTGCTGTCTATGCGGGCTATATGGCAATATAAAAGAAAGTGAGATCTGAACCATAGTCTTTCAGTTATAAACAATTTTTAACAATAGGGGGACCCATTTTTCAGTTTTTTTGAATTTGCGGCGCACCCTGTATATTTTTGAAAAATTGTCAAGAATAAAAGTTTATAGAGCCGTATCTTCCGCTTCTTCTGGTTCAAGAATTTTTTTGGTCACGTGAACAGTTTTTGAAAAACGATGTAGACACTTGCGCGCGCGATCTTTTATTTTTTTAGAATACTTCCCGATCCCCCCCCCCCTATTTTGAATAGATTCCGTCACGGGGAAAAGCTGCATATATGTGCCAAATATGAAATCGATTGCTTCAAATTTCGGACACTTAGCGTATTTTATAGCAATGTTCAAAAAACAGTGAAAAATCGCGAAAAAAGGAGGGTTGAAAAGGAGGCAAATTTCAATTTTGTAGCTCCAACGGTTCGAAAGTTATTCAGGAAAAACCAAAAATAGAGAACGGAGAACGGACAGACAAAAAAAATTGTTTTTTTCGACGATGGTCATTTCTGTACCAACGGCGATCCCATAGGACCTACCGTTGCCGAGATATAAAATTTTTATACGAGCGCAGATACTTTCGAAAAATTCGATTTTATCGATTTTCAGGTGTAACAAGGTTGATGGTTTGAATTATTGTCCAAGTCATTATTGTTAATATGTCAAACTCTTGACTGGAACCTTCGGCATTGTACTAACACACGATAACGCGTTTTACCACAAACCGAAGCTCAATTTTACGTATTCGACGTACGTTTCGCCAACCAAGTTGGCATCTTCAGGAGAAGATTAAATCTGAATCTTCTCTCAGTTTTAATCTTCTCCTGAAGATGCCAACTTGGTTGACGAAACGCGTAAAATTGAGTTTCGGTTTGTGGTAAAACGCGTTATTGTGTGATTGTTCGTCAAAACAGATATTTCCAAGGCTGGCAAAAAAAATGCAGAAAACGGTAACATATTAAATGCTAAATTGGTATGCCGGAATCATAACGTTTTAAACATATTAGGGTTCTATGAAGCAAATCCAGTTTCCTCTACTACCAGAGTATATGAAGAGTGTTTCTCGGGGATCAATCCACTCAGTTTCGAAACAATATAAATATGATGCATTTAAATTTCGTCAAACTCATAAACTAAGTGCAGAGCAACGCCAAAGGAGGATGCAATTTTGTTTGGATTATTCAAATAGACATAATGATTTGCATAATATTTTGAAAATAGATTGTAATAGACAATATGCTATAAGCTATAAGCTACAATTAAAATCTAGTCGGTAAGTTAAGTGACATTCATAATTCAAGTTTCCCACATACCATTTTCAAATATCCGTGTCTCGTCAGTACAAACAAAACAAAATTGTAGGTTAGAACCTCCTTTTCCTTACTAATACTATCTTAAAAATTTAATCTTCTTAAAAGCTCTTTCTTTGAATGATTTTTCTTCCAATTACAGTCTTTTTCTTTAAATGAGCTACTTAATTTTTAATTTGTTAAATTGTCGTAGAAAAAGTATATAAAAGTATATTATATTATCTCACTCGTGTATTAAGCACTCGCTGCGCTCGTGCCAAATAAACTCGTGAGTCAAATGCCGTTTATGGCACTCGTTGCATAATATACTGTTACTTTTACTGATATTGTTTATAATCGTGAGCAATGTACCTCACGGTTTGTGTTTTCGTCGAAAATCGTCGGTCACTCGATTGTCTTCGTTCCCCGCCCATCGTGGACGTCATTTTCTTCGGTTTTCGTTTCTGACCGATCCGCAGCGAGAGCATTATACGCACTTTCACGTGTCTGATTACGTATTTCTCCGTTTTCAAACCTTTCTTTGTCGAAATATTCCCAGTCGCCGCCAGTTTACGCCGACGCGCCGAATACAGATCGTACGGTGGCGTTTTTTGCGCATGCGCGTACAGGGGATTCCGGTAAACGTAACTTAGAGAGCTCGGTTGGCTTTCTTCCGAGCACTCGTAAATCGTTTGGTCGCGCAGATTCGGCGTTTCGTACAATCGGTTCAGTGTAAATTTACAACCTCGTGCCGTCGATTGTCTTCGTCTCGTCAGCTTGCGCCAAAAATCGGGGTATTTCGTCCACCTAGCTTGCCAAAATGGACTAAGTATATAAGTTTATGTGATGTTAAAAAAAGCAAAAATACAAGATGCGAATAAATTTATTAATAAATATAATATAAATACAAACTTGCATGCTTAGAAATCGACCCACTGCTAATTTTTTACTTTAATACTTTTTTTTGTTAAGAAACTATTCAGCTCACCCAAAAAATAAACGTGCTATTCAGACAATTTAACACGCTTTATTATGAGTTTAAGTTCGTCACGAGTGCTGATCTCTTATATGCGTAGCTAAGGTTAAAACAAATGAAACGTGTTTGTGCAGTGATAGTAACAAACCTGTTATAGACTTAAATTAATCGCCTTTGCAACTGAAATTTTCGTTTTTTTCAGCGAGGAAAAAAGTAGATGAAAGTGATCAAGATATAATACGGCGTAAAATTTACCAGTTATACGAGGAACACAGCGTGCCTACATTAGATATCTTAATTTGGAGGCTTGAAAAAGATGAAACCGGTGTTAAATGTGGCAACACATGGGTTTTATAATTAAAAAAAATTGACAAAAGGCAAGTTTTAATGGAATCTTTTAGAATTCGGAAATGGCGACTGGAATATCTAGAAAAAAAAATTAGAATTTACAGAGAACAACAAAGGCCCATTATTTACTTGGATGAAACCTGGTTCGACACTTATGATACCCTGAAAAGGGGTTGGGTTGACTCAACTGATAAGTGTAAAGCACACGCGGCATCAAAAAGAGGTAAAAGAATAACTATTTTGCATGTTGGCCCTGAAGATGGTTGGATTCCAAATGGACTTTCTGTCTGCGAAAAATATTAAAGACTCTTCTCTGGATTACCATGAAGACAACACCGTTGATTTAGTTGTAAGTTGGTTTAAAAACAAACTAGTTCCAAACATTCCTCCTAATAGCGTCATTGTAATGGACACAGTAGACAGTTGACTAAAACCCCTTCCTAACTAACCAAAACTAACTATTTTGCATGCTGGCCCTGAAGATGGTTGGATTCCAAATGGACTTTCTGTCTGCGAAAAATATTAAAGATTCTTCTCTGGATTACCATGAAAACACCACCGCTTATTTATTTGAAAGTTGGTTTAAAAACAAACTAGTTCCAAACATTCCTCCTAATAGCGTCATTGTACTGGACAATGCAAGTTATCACAGTAGACAGTTGACTAAAACCCCTTCCTCATGTGACACAAAAGCGACAATCGAAAACTACATGTATAATAACAACATTTATTTTCAAGAAGATTATACCAATACAGACGGAATACGTCTGTCATAAATATGCAAAAAATCCAGGGCATATAGTTTTAAGGCTTCCACCTTACCACTGTATATTTAATCCCATTGAACATGTTTGGCACCAACTGAAATCTGCCATTCGTCGTAACAATGTTTTCCCCGTGTTAACTCCAACGTCCTCAAACTTATAGAAACCGAAGTTTTTAACATCCCTCCACAAAGTTGAGCAAATTCTGTTAAACATATAGAAAAAGCAGAACAATCGTATATCCATATTGCAAATAATATAGAACAAGTAATAATTACAATCGGTGATGATAGCGATAGTGATACTGATACATTATGTGAATAATTTTAAGTAATTTAAGTATTTAATAAAAATAATTCGTAATTTTATTTTAGATTTAAACATAAATACATACTTAAATAAATAAATATTGTTTAGTATCTTTCCTAACAAAACCCCAAATAATTAAATTCTAAGCAAAGTACGGACCTGTTCGGCCATATTTCATTCTTACAGCTATGAACAGACTTTAAATCCGGTCGAAGATCTTTTTTTCTGGGCGCCTTGTTTTGTTTAAACGCCGTCATAGCCACCTTAACTAACTGAACTATATCGCAACAAAATTGCCTTAATTTTTGATGCTAAATATGACAGGATCATAAAAGTGGGTAGTTTCCATTTAAAATAAAGGTTTTTTATTTCATTTTTAATCTTATTTTTCGCGTTCCCTGTATTATTACGTATCGAAATTTGTTATGAAAAAATGTCAGAAAGGGTTAGACTTAGGTACAGGACATTATGCACAAAATATGTTTACAATTTTGTGGAGGATTTAAAAGTGAAGTAATATTCCTGGAGTTCCATTTAAAATAAGGAAGTCGATACTCGCCCACCGTGTATATACAACTTCATTTTTTTTTATTAAGACGTTTAAAGTATATAGAAGCGCATTTTTCCGAGTAAACGCGAAACACTTTTTTGGCCAGCGAGTCGAACGAAATACCCGTCAATGAGGCGTTCCTTGTAAACCATCGGCAATTGGAAATCGCCGTATTTGGAGGTGCGTTCCTTCGGGAAATCGCGTCTATAGTTTCGAGATACTTCGCGAAAGATGTCGGAAACATCGGGCGACGCAGGTCTGGGTTCCGACGCGACTACCAAGGCAGCGTCGACAACGGAAACCAAATCTTCCGGGTAGCCGTCTTCGGAGCTTTCGCTTTCCGCACGGTTCGCTCGTCGCACTCCCAAATCGAGCAAATGCGATCGGTTATGCACCCATCCTTTGCTGATGGTCCACTCCTTCAGCCAAGCGGGCTTTTCAGGACCGGCTTCGCGTATTTTAAAACGATCGTGATGGTTCCCGTTCCGGTTGCGGTTTTGTTTCGTGTTAGGTGACCACGACTTCCTTTGGACCACGACGCACATACACATGCACCGAAATAGGTCTCGCAGGATCGACATCGTTCAGATCCTCGCGCCGGACTGGCCCTCACGTTGACGCTTACGTTCGTTTTTTCCGAGCGGAAACGCTAAATCCGCTCGTGTGTGACCACCCGTATTGTTGTATCGGGTCATTCGTGGTCGTTTACGCAGCTGGTTCCTTTCGAAAAATCGATGAAATCGCGGTAATTTTTTTTCTGTTCTCCGTTCTCCGTTATCCTTTTCTCTGTAGACCTGGCATTAATTGGCTATATCTTTTGAACGGTTTGCAACACGGCCTTCAAATTTGGCTCCTTTTAAGCCATCCACGAGGTACACAAACCAGTTAAAAATGGGTCCGCTCAAACCACGGCGTCCATTTTTTTTTTAGATTTTCCTCTGTCTTTTGGACTCTGCTATAAAACACGGTAAGTGTCCGAAATTTGAAGCCATCCACTTAACACTTGACACATATATAGAGTTTAGCTCCGTAACGCAGCCTATTGAAACTGGGGGGGGCTGGGGTATCGAGAAGTATTTTTTTTTTAATTAAAAACCGCACTTGTAGGGTATCGAGAAAATAATCAAGACGGTATACATCGATCGAAAATTTTTTTTAACCAAACGATGCGCACGATCCGGACCAAAAACCTTTATTCTTGATGATTTTTTCAAAATGTACAGGGTGCGTCGGTAATTTGCTAAAATCTAAAAAATGGTCTAAAGTTTTTTTTCGATTTTCGACTGTTTTTTAGACGTTGCTATGAAACACGACAAGTGTCCGAAATTTGAAGCTGTAGACTTCAAATTTGGCGGACAAATACCATTTGTTCCCCTAACGGAACCTATTGAAATTGGGGGGGGATGGGGTCTCGCAATGTATTTAAAAAAAAATAAAACCGCGTTTGCAGGGGTCCAAGGAAAAAAATCATTTCTCGGAAACGGGTTAGGCGGCCGACAAAGTTCTTGAATGTGAAGACGCATAAGATTCGGCTACATAAAATTTTATTCCCAAAAGTTTTTCAAAAATGTGCAGGGTGTGCGGCAAATTAAAAAAAAAGACGAAAAATGCTTCGGATGTCAGTCAGTTTTAGCGATTTTCGACTGTCTTTTGGACGTTGCTATGAAACACGATAAGTGTGCGAAATTTGAAGCTATCGACTTCAAATTTGGCAGGCAAATAGCGCTTGGTGCCCTAACGGAACCTTTTGTCATTGGAGGGGATGGGGGAGGGGTCGGGAAGTATTTTAAAAAAATTAAAAACTGCGTTTGCAAGGATCTAAGGAGAAGATCATTTCACGAAAACTGTTTATGGGATTTTGTCTTTGACGGACCGAAGATGAAGAGATTTTGGGACAAGTGGTGACGTTATATTTCTTTAGAACTTTTGACATGTGGTAAGTGATGTTTCGAATATAAGGAAGGACAACAGTCGCAAGTGTGACTTTCAGCCTCATTGAAATTGGAAGGTTGTGGTGAAGTGTATTTTTTGATGGAACGCTTAATACCTTTAATGTGGAAATTATTATTAGAGAGAAGAGCAGAGGACTGAGATACGGCTGGGGATGTGACAATGCATTAAGGTATGTCTGTGTCTTTGTATTGATAAGAATATCTAAGAACGAGAGGTTGTTATTAGTTTCTCTTTCAATAGTAAAACGTATGTTATGGTGTACAGAGTTTAAATTTCTCATCTTAGATGGAAGGTGTCTAAGGCTTTCTTCTCAAAGTCTTCCATAAATGTCTTTGCGATGACTGGCGATGGTGGAGAACCCATAACTGTTCCCGACGTTTGTTGATAAATTTAACCGTTACAAGAAAAATATGTTGATGAAATGATGTTGATGATAATGAAATGACATTGCGTGCGAAACTGTCAGTTGTCTCTCTAAAGGGTTTTAATATAGAAGCCAGATATTTTGAACTTTGAGTAGTTGTTTACAGGACTGCAAAACGTATTTGTATGCTGATGATACCGAAATATATTTTTCATTTCTTCCGGAAAATTTCCAGCAGGCTATGGACATTATAGACAAGGATATCAAGCGCGTCTCTGGTATCAACTCGAAGAAAATGCTACCAAATCTTACCTTACAATTAGATTATCGCCGGTACTTTCTACACTTTGAATCTGCGATATATTCATGAATTGAGTACATAAAATCCAGAAAATGTAATATCAGTATACTAAACGCATTGCGCACAAGTAGTCTTTGTTAGTCTTGGCCTGCCGTTTAAGGCGCCTATCTATAAATCTAGAAACCCAGCTGGCCGTTGTTTTTTAAAATATAATTTTTATTTAATTGTCAGCTATCCTAATATCAAAAATGTTTGTCGACTATGCGCATCGACTGCGCAAAATCCTGCAAATGTAATGCCCGCATATTATAAAGGCGTGACACATCGTCAGAAATAGTTCGAGTTTCAGACAGATTTGTATTTTTTTATTGATCAGCTAGCCTGATATTAACAAATTTTGTGCATAAAATCTTGGCTTTGGTCTTTTTTTAAATTGTTTCTCAGATCGTTTTTTTTTTTGCGCTGTGCTTTCGGTTTACTGCTTATAGATAAATGCAAATACTAAAATTGTTATTATTAGATTTTAGAGCAATGCGTTTAGGAATTGAAACATCAGATTTAGGATATTTACGGTTTCAAATCGAATTTGAAACGGGATAACACGGGGCTCTCTTGATTCACCGACGCCCAGTGTGCCGTTTCTAGATTTCTAACGAACTAAATCTGGCGCGTCAGGTGGCTTACACCCAAGTCTATTTGAAATGACACCTCGGGCTAGCGCGAGACCCACATATCTGGCGAAATCGCGTTTCAGAAGAAAGTCGGAGGCACTTTTTGCCGATGACGATTTTACTCTCCCTATCCGTCGTCTATCCGTCCAACCTTGATAATAAAAAAAAAATCGACCGTGATTCTAAGAGGCCGGATCTTCGTTGTCGCGTTGCGGCCATAAAAAGATTCGGTTAAGTCTGCGGTTTTGTCACCGGCGCCACAAACGAAAGTGTAAATTTGTTTTATTTCGGTCGGAGTTGTCAGCTGGCTCTGGAAGCGACGGAAACTAACCTGATTATCGCGGACTGATATTTCCGCAATTGAAGACGGGTCAAGGCTCACAAACGCGCACAAAATCACAGTTAACCGCGGCGACTGTTAATTAACACATAGTTTAACGCGAGAGGCGAAAAAATTACAATAACGCGAACGCGAATACACGCGAGTGCACGCTTCTCGGTGGCCGTGGCATGTGTAAAACCCGCAACGTCTGGTCCCGGCGAGGCGCGGGTAGGAGAAGACGGAGGATATCTCGGCGAAGAAGAGATACGCGCGGACAGGAAACACTTTCTTCTCGCCTCGTTGCTTGTAATTAGAAACTCTACCTTCGACAGATTGCCTACGGGCGACTAGCCATACTCTACGGGAAAGTTCTAGACGACTCGAAGAAAAAGGTGCGAAAATTGAACTGAGGTGGCTTTTACTTGATGAAAAGCCATTTAACAAAATAAATAAGAACTAAGAGTTCAGATTTTCATCATTTCCATCAAAACTCAGGTCAGTTTCAGATTATTTCCATGTATTAGCATAGTAAATGCGCCAATACAGGACCTCACCTACGTCACAGCCAGCGAGAGTTTTCGCATTGCACCTGCGGACAGATTTGGCGGGTTAGGCAATCCTATTAGGTTTACAATTCTTGACACTAACTTATGCAGTTTGTAAACATTGTATGTTAAAATATATAAGTGCTGGTTAAGTGCCCGTAGGCAAATTCTGAATGAAAGGACTTCAATCGCAAGAAAAAAACTCGACCCACCTCAGACACGCGTCCATCAGCGTTAATAATTCATCGTTCTTGTCCAACAGGAACCAATTGGAACTGTCGAGGAGATATTTAAAGGCCGCCCGTCTATTCACCGACACGTCTAAAGTGTTCAGACGGTTTGCCCTTTTGAATTTCACGCAAAACGAACTATCGTCCGGACTGTAAGTCATTTTGGTGGACGCCACACGCGACGAACGAATCAAACACGACTTGGAGACAGACCACGAAATTCTATTTATCGTTTCATGTCGAAATCGTATTTTCACGAAGAATTTAAACGTCGGGTTGCCGACGGCGGCTTACGCAAAGGCCGTCGTTTTCCGTTTCCAAAAGTTGGCGCTGCAGGAAGAACCACGCCCAGCAAAGGTCGCCTTTAATTATGAAAAAACGACCGAAGGGGGAGGGGAACGAAACCGGTGCGAAAAATCCAACAACCAAATTTAAATCTTTTTCAGTAATACGAGGTTAGCGCCAAAATTTCCCGGCCTGACATAGATGCAGCTCCAGTATCACGAAAAAACTTTCTCTTCTTTTAAATATATATCTTAGTAGGCTGCGAAAAAAAAATTGAAGTCTTGCGCCAAATAGTTTTTTATTGACAGCATTTCAAACAAGGCGTGTCGCAAATAACGCAAATTGAGTATAGAGCAGTCATTGACAAAAGAGGGGTTAGCACCTAAAATTATTAAAGAAAGGCTGGATGGTGTGTACGGCCAAAGTTCTCCTTCGTATTCTGTAGTGAAAGAATGGGCAAAACGTTTTCGAATGGAGCAGGAGTTACTTGAAGTTGATTCAAGAACTGGTCGACCAGTGGAGATCATAAAAGCAAAAAAGAATCAATGGAGTGGCGTGGTAAGGGTGAAGCACCTCCAAGAAAATTCAGAGTCTGAGAGGTCAACAAAAAAGGTAATGGCCACGGTCTTTTGGGATTGTGAAGGAATTCTTTTCATAGATTTTAAAGAAACTAATACCACTGTCAATTGCCATTTTAGAGTGTGGGTTCCAACAGATAGATCATCCACCCTATAGTCCAGATATGGCCACCGGCGACTATTATGTTTGGATATTTGAAAAAGGACTTACGTGGACGGCGGTTTAACGATGAAATTGAGTTAAAAGAGGCTGTTCTAGCTCATTTTGCCGACAAACCAAAAGAATATTTTTTTAAAGGGATTGAGTTGTTAATAAAGAGATGTAATAAGTGTATTGAAGTTAAGGGGGATTATATTGAAAAATAATAAAAAATTGTTACTCTACTTTGTTTCTTTCATATTCAGGCCGGGAAATTTTGGCGCTACCCTCGTAATAATAATAATAATAATAATAGCGATCAACTTTATTTCACATTGGATTACAAATACATTAAATGACGAAGGAAATCGGAAATAAAAAAGGAAAAAGATACTAGATTCTATTACAAATTAAATTATTAATTAAATAGTAATTAGAGACAAGACTTCTAGGGAGTAAAGTTCTAAATCTATTTGGTAATTCATTCAACAATCTCAGGCACACGTAACGTTAAATAACGTTAAGTATTTGCGGGTTAAACATGCAATGATGTGGAGGAAGACGAATACACACGGTTTTCAAAAGTTGGGCTTTTTTGTAACTAATCAATAGTACAGGACTCTTAGTAATCATAGCCAAAGGATTATGTATCGTTAGTGGAGACTATGCTTTCAAATTTAAAATAAAAATTCACGATTGTAGTGAAGGACAGGCGGGCATTAACACAAGAATAAATGATAAACTCCGTTTTAGTTGTATAAAAGAAAGTTTTGTTGTAATAAATGCTTAAATTCGTGTGTTTTTGTTTTTTTTTTTCTTAAGTGGTAATAGCATTATAACATATATAATCGGACCATGATCAAAGATGTCGCCTGTGAAGGCAACTGGAATATTCGACCCCACATTCTATACGCCCGTCACTGGCAGTCGTTTAAAAAGAAAAACCGTATGGCGCGCAAATTTAGATAGTCATAGTCGTTATCATTACTTTTAAACTCAGGTGGTACTCTTTGCTATTTGCTTCCTAAAAAGATACTTGCATCTTGAGTGCTTCCATCAGTCCAGTAACATCTGATGCTGTATGATGAGTATTCATAACCCTTTGTTTCAGGTTTCACTGTTATAGGCACACCGCCTGATAAGTGAGGCTTGGGAAAAGGAAAGGTTGGATATGCATGAATCATCATGGCCAGTTTTCACTCCCCTTCATTGCTCTTTGAAGCATGGTTGAAGCATTGGGTGCTTTTCAAAACTAAACCCATCTAACTAACCAAAACTCTTCTTCTTTGGTATCCGGCTTGGGAGCCAACATCAATTTATTACATAACCTGAAGGATGTTTTACCAGAATCATAAATGTTGATTGTTTATTACGTTCGTCTTGAGAGTAAAATTCGTTAAATGTGTTCAAAATTAAGCGGGCCATGTGTCCTTACGCAAAATATAATAGTTCTTACAGAATCCCGAGTGTAACATCCCGCTGAAAGAAATAAAATTGTGTGACAATTTATGCCTGTGCTCAGTAGAAGAGTACTTTAGTTACTTTTTCCTTCTTTGTTTATAGATTACTGGTTGTAGTGTTGGATTATCGTCATTTTTCCCATACAAACATGGTATTTGTCAATAAAGAATATCATTATATAGCGAAGCACCGCACCCCGGCCGGGCCAGTCGGTCGAGAAAAATAACCGTACATCGCGAAAATATAAATCGATACGAGTTTTCTGTTTTGACGATTTATTTACCCAGCGTCCTCCATATCGCGGATCACCCGACAATTGCGGAGATAATCGTCGAACATGACGTCGGTCCAACTCGTAGACGAATCGAAGTTGTACGCCTCTAGAGACTGCACCAAAACGACATTTCCGCTTTCCGTGGTACCGTCCGAGTCGATTTTTTTCTTCCTCGGCGAACTATAGCGATTACGGGCTGATATGCGCAATTTAAGGAGCGTCAGGACGCACATTTTGCGACGCGGTTCTCACCGAGCGACACTCGCGACTACCGAAATTACGCGCGAAGGGTGACGGAATGCTTCGAAGAAGCAATTTGGACGCAGAAAATGCGCCGGCCGTGAAGCAAGGGAAAAGAAATTGCCGCTCTTGACGTAGTCACAATTCGGGTCGATGTTTCGTCACGGCGCATTGAGCGGCATCTAATCGCATTTGGCGAAATTCGATTAGAATTAGGTTCGTCGATTCGATTCGGTTTCGATCCGCTTCACCTGGAGGACGAGGCAAAAAAAGAACACCATTTTCCAGAGACAGGGGACATACCTCGATTTTGCAGGAAAACGCAAAAGTTTCTTATCCCCTCCAGGGGCAGAATATAGGTAAAATTGGGTTTTGTCGATAAATTGTCGATAATTGATACGTCAGTTTTAAAAGGTTTACATCTCGCTCATTTATAATTTTAGTAAATTAAAATTTATACGTTATATACATTATTTATACGTTAGTCCTTCCTCTATCGACCGATATCAAAAGGTCTAATACAAGCTTTACCGTTGGCCATCTGGAACAGTTTTTGTGGCGGGCTGAAATTTTTCGAAAAATAATTAATTATAACTAAATGGTGGGGACTTTTTGATATCTATTGGCCTCTATCTTCAGTAAAAATTTCAACGTTCGTGAAGGAATGTAGATATTTCGAAAAATTAAAAACATAAATCTTTGAGAAAAATCATGAAAATTTTTGGATTGTGGTGGATATTAATCGATCCGGCTTAAATTTGGCGCGAAGATAGGGGGTCAGGGAAGTACTTGAAAAAATTAATAGACTATTCAATTGGAAGTTTTTTTAACAACTCCAGGGAGCAAAATATAGGTAAAAATGGGTTTTGTCGATAAATTGTCGATAATTGATGGGTCAGTTTTAAAAGGTCTTACATCTCGATAATTTATAACTTTGGGAAATTGAAATTTATACGCGATATACGTTAGTCCTTAGTCTGTCGAACGATACCAAAAAAACTGATGCAAGTTGTTCGGTTCTGCGTGTGGAACGGTTTTTGTAAGAGGCTGAAAAATTTCAAAAAATTATTACTTGTAATTAAATTGAAGTTGATGGAGGGAATTTTGTTTGTTTTTTTGTTCGGGTTTCATTGATTAATCTTTCTGACACATTAAAATATCCTATGTTCAAATACGCCTGAAATTCTAAGATACTTTTGATTTACGCATGTTCAAAAACTTTTTATCATTCCAGCTTTTACAGTTTCGGAGATATTTAAGCTTTCCAGTACTTTTGCAGTGCTGTGTTAAAATATTATTATTATAACGATAACAATAGAAATGATTAAAATCGTATTTTTTATATTTATTTTAATTTTTGGAATTTGGTATTAAAAAAATCAATACAATCAAGAAAATGATGCAATTGACCACCATTTATGTATTTCGAGACATCAGATCTTTTAAATAAACGCCGCCGTCTGTTATTCGCGAACCTTTCGACGCTCGCGGACGGATGGAGGACTGCGCCAGTCGCGTCTCAGATTACATAAAAAGAGTGAATTTTTCAAAGAAACTTCCACAGGCTGCTGTAATACTTTTTAAAAAACTTCTGGATTCCTCCTACGTCGGTTTTTGCTTAGTCGAAAGTGCTGACGTTTCGCCAATCATCCTGTTGGCTTCTTCAGAGCTTGACTGAAACTGTTTCAGTCAAGCTCTGAAGAAGCCAACAGGATGATCGGCGCAATCATAAAAAAAGTGGTTTAAAAAAATTTCATCAATCTATACATCTCAACGCTCAAGACCTTAGACACATACGTTGGTATTTTTATCCTAAAATAAAAACCATGTAGATATACAGCTGTACGCAATTTGGGAAAAAACTTAATAATAATAATAATAATAATAATAATAATAATAATAATAATAATAATAATAAACGACTTTTATTTCAGATAATAGCATAACAAATAAACAATTCAAAGCCTAATTAGTTGTACAGTCGACTAACGAATTAGCCATTCTACTGAACCAGTGCGTGGCACAACAAAGACATTGACGATGACGTCCTATCCTAGTTACGAATCTTTAAAGAGTGGTTATAACAAATGCATTAGAAAAACGAAAAAAAAAACAGAAAAAAATCTCTACTATTATCTTTAAAACTAACCATTGTTTGCCAAAAAGCTTGTCCTGGGAGATACGTTAAATCTACTTTGTAATGATGGGGTTTTTCTATATTAATATTTACAAAAATAGTCATAGGGGAGGGCGGGGCAAGCCTGCCCACATAAGCTTTTTATTATTTTTTGTGTGCTTTTAACAATCAAGTCGACTTATATGCGACTAACTTCACTTTTACTTGACAAAATTTATCCAAATCTCGGCGAAGGTTCTAAAAAAAATATATATATAATTACTAGAAAAAAAACGAAAAAAAAAAATTGGTTAATTTTCATTGGCAATTTCGATTCCGTTTGAAAAAGCAAAGCGCTGTATCGAACTCTAGAATTGTCGCCACGTGCAAATGACAGTTAAAAAGACGGTTCTGGGTTAACGGACCCTTTTTCAGTAATCAGTTTGAAAAACGCGACGCGACGCGCGCGGACGGACGGAGGACTGGACGCGCCCGCCCCGCCCACTCTACTGCGCCAGGAACGCGATGGCGGCGATCGCGCAGAGCAAAGCTCGCTGCGGACGGATCGACGGCGCGACGGCGCGTCCCTCGCAGAACGCACGCACGTCGCAGCCCTCCGCCAGACCTTCGAAGCGGCCCTTGAACGCCTCCCAGTCGCAGAGACCGACCGCGCATCCGGGGATATCGTCGACCGGGACTTCGTTCAGGTAAAACGCGACCTTGTACGGGTCTCCGACGCTGCACCTGGAAAAAATATCCTATTTTCGACGTTCGCGGTGTGTCTGGACGCACCTACTGGTGGAGCACGGCCACCAAATTCGCCGCGAACGGACTTATCACCGACGTACGCCACCGTCGTCTCGCCTGCTGTCTATAATTGTCCGCGGTCAGTAGAGTGTAGTCTTTGGCGACTCCTAGCGTAGTCAGAGCGGCCTGCACGGTTGCAGCGTGAGTGAACAGCGCCGTCACTTTGTTGCCTTCGGATTTGCCGTCGACTGTTTTCTGGAAGCGACGCAACAGGTCCCGGATCGGGGCACAGCCGATCCTCTCGGTCAACGGGTTGCCGTAGCCCGTGGCGTAGTACTCTTTCAGGTCGTCCCCGTACTCGAGGAATCGCAACTGGTCTTTGGTGAAGGCGGCGCACCAAGCGGAAGGCCTATCGACGTTCCACGCCTTCTCGTACCTGCACATGTCGTAGATGTCGAGGACCGTCTGCGGGTCCGGGTCGTACCGGAAACCGAGTCTACGGAAGACGCGGCGCGAGAGCTCGTAGTACTCCGGGGACTCCAGGAATCGCCTGTAGTGGTACTCGGTGGCGGGGTTGCGATCGGTGCGTTCCTGCCACGCGGCGCAATCCTTGTACGGCTGGAAAGTATGCGAGGTGTTTTGCGGAAAAATCGTTAGCACGCAAAAAACGTAAAATAAAAATGTTTAAAAATAACCGCGGCCTAGTTTCAATTCTCCGGGTATGTGGGCGGGAACTTAATTAGCGGCCTGCACCTTTTCTCAGGAACTGCTGATTTTAGCAAAAAAAAAGTTTATACACAAGTTTTAAAATTATTTGTTTTTTAAATATACAGGATGTTCGGTAAGTGCTGGACCGACATTAGTTTTAAACTTTTTAAATGGAACAACCCATATGTTTTGATATTTGTAGAATCCTTGCCGATAGAAGCTACTTATTCGAATTTTGAGTGGTTTAGACAGAAATCGGGATAATATATTTTCTGATGCAAAATTATGGTAAAAGATTTACTAAAAACGGCTGGAAAATGTGCGAGGTGTTTTGACGAAAAACCTTTTAAGGTTAGGACGCTAAAATCGCAAAATAAAAATCTTCGAGAATGCTTAAAGTGTAATCTCAACGTATGTACGTTTTTTTTTAATGCGTTTTGTGGTGGTCATTTCACAGTGAGAAATAACATTTCTATACGTAAAGCGTGCGTAATTTTTCAAATACTTTCAATCCTAATTTTTATACTTTAGTATATCCCGCAGAATGCAGATTTTGCGTTGATATGAGGTTTGCCAACAGTTAAAATCTTAACGTGTAGTTGTCTAATTTCTGATAATATAAGTTTTAGTTTAATAAACCAAATTTTTGAGGAATAAATCGAAATTTCTAGGATAAATCAGAATTCCTGTCCTGTCAAGTCAGAATATGTGGAAAATAAGTCAGAATTTCTAAATAATAAATTTAGAACAAAATTTAAATTTTGAACTACGAAATTAGCGTAATTTATATGAGACACGTTGAATTTTGGTATACCTGTTGTTTAGACATTGTCGATTCCTTATGAATCACCCCGTATATCTGATGTTTTGATTGGCGCTCTCCCATATGAGAGATAAAGGTGATAAATTCTTAATTGTTTTTCAGGAGTCCTAACTTCTTTCCAGGAACTGTGACTTATTTACGAATTTAGGCAAAATTAATGAAAAATAAGTTTGAACTTCTGGAAAATAGGTCCGACTTTCTGAATGAAATCAAAATTTATGAAAAATAAGTTCTGGAAAATAAGTCAAAATATCTAACTCAATTCATAATTCTTGATTTTAGTTAGAATTTGTAAAAAATATGTCGTAATCTCTGAATTAAGAATTTATAAAAAATAATTCATAATTTCTAAAAAAAATCAGAATTTATGTCATGAAAATAAGGCAGAGTTACTGTCATACGTCAAAATTTCTGGAAAACTAGTCAATATTTTGAATTTGTGAGATAAATGATAATTTATTCTGGGAAATAAGTCAAAATATCTAACTTAAGTCCGAATTTCTGAAAAACTAGTCAAAATTCCTGAAAAATAAGTAAACATTTGTGACTTAAGTCATAATTAATGAAAATCATATCAGAAATTCTTTGAAAAAAGTCAGAATTTCTAAATTAAGTCAGAATTTATGAAAAGTAAGTCAGAATTTATGAAAAGTAAATCACAACTTCTGGAAAATAAGTAGAAAAATATCTAATTTGTAATAGAAATTCTAAAAAGCTAGTCAAAATGTCTGGAAAATAAATCATAATTTCTGAAAATAAGTCAAAATTTCTGACAAAAGCCATAATTTCTTTAAAAAATATGTCAATTTTTTGAATATTATGAATAAAAAAAATACATCAAAACTTCCGGAAAATAAGTAAAAAATATCTAACTTAAGTCAGAACTGCTAAAAAACTAATCAAAATTTTTGGGAAAAAGTCAGAATTTCTGAATTAAATCGCAATTTATCAAAAATGAGTCAAAATTACTGGAAAGTAAATCAGAGTTTCTGAGTTGAGTCATAATTTATATAGAAATATAATAAGAAATTCTGAAAAATAATAAAAAGTTGGAATTTCATAAAATTTTTGTAAAATAAGTCGCAATTTCTGAATTGATACAGAATTTATGGAAAATAAGTCAGAACTTTTGGAAAACAAGTTAGGATTACTGGAAAACAAATAAGAATTTCTCGCCTTTGCCTTTCGTAAGAGATAGCGCCAATCATAGTGTCAGATATACAAGATATACATAAAGAATGAACAATTTTTAAACAAAAGGTACACCAATTGATAAAACTCAAAATGTCTCATTTAAATGTCGCGAATATCGGAGTTCAAAGCTTAGATTTTATTTTAAATTTATTTGGAAATTCCGATTAATTTTTATTTTAATTAGTACGCCTACTTCAATAATTTTTATTTAATATCACCAAATAACTCTTTAAATCCGAATGATACTGATCGATTGAAATTTCAGATGCCAGACTAAAAGATTTACCCGCAGTAGGGATTGAATTATACCTTGATGACGTCATCGTTGCCCATGGTGTTAGCGTGGGCGTGATAGTAAGCGTTGTCGAATAGACCCTCGATGTACGCTTGGTAGCTATCGTGCGTCCTGTCGCTCAGCGCGTACTGAAACTGAAACGCGGCGAATTGTCTCAGATTGTTATATTATTTATTTATTATATTATATTTTGCCCTTACGTAATACGTCCGGTCGTCGTAGGGCCGGTCGAAAACAGGTGGGAATCTCGACCGGTATCGGCGTGCCAGCAATTTGAGTTCTGTGGTGCCCTGAGCGGTCAGCGACCCCTCCCTCTCTTCCGTTACGGAATCGTTCCAGCGCCATCTGGCGGCAACCGAGCCAATTATCCGACCGAGCCGGATCGAAACCGCGCAACACTTACGATCGCAACAGGTCGTAGTCTTCGGGACACAGTCTTCCGCGTCCGCTCGGATACGAACGTCTCTGCTCGTAATTGTCTACGATTTCGTCTTTGAACTTTCGCAGTTGACGCAGTCGTCTGATTTTGAACGCCTTCGGGAGACGGGTGCCGTGCCTGTTCAGGCTCCAAAACTGCACCGGCTTGCAATCTGCGAAGCGAAAAGGTCATAGGATCGCTGACGTAGAAAAAAAAGGAGCAACGCGTACTCCATCTTCATAAGAATAAACGATGTACTAAGGAGTTTTGATTAGTTATAATTAAGGTATAATACGACCAAAAATATAGTGCATTTATTGCATTGACGTTTTAAGTATTTTACAGGACCGTGGTAAAACCCTTCCTTCGGCATTAAGAAAAAAACCAACCACTTTTGTTTCCCGTTAGCAGGGACCCCGTCCGGCAGTAAATTCGCACTTTATCACTTGCTTGGTATTAAAGAAAGCCTTTGCCGCAAAAAATTGAAACGTTTTACTTGGAATAAGGTGTTCGCGCCCACCGCCGCCTCTGTTGGTACTGTCGTAGGACGTCTTAGTGCCGAACATGACGTGTGGCTGCTCGTCGTTGAAATAGCAGTACTCTTCCAGCACGTCTTCGTCTGTAGGGGGGCCGAACCTGTCAAATTGTTGATCCCCGGGCGGCTGGGCGATCAGCGTCGCGACACACGCCGTCGAAAAAATGAAAATACCCGCTCGGACGCTCATGTCGTCTCCGTCTAAAACGTAACGGCCCGATTTTTTATCTTCTTTGAGTTGACATAGAAAAAACGTATCCCTTTTAAATGAAATATTTGGATTAACGATATAAAAAAATTACATATAACTAACCAAAACTTTTCAGATTCAGCTGATTCAATTAAAAAAACTCAAAATTTATATGAAAAATGTGAACTTATAGATCATTTGACATATATCAAAGCTAATTTTAGACGACCGCAAGCTGTCAAAATGACAGTAACACATTTTTTTTATTAATGGTATGCCTTATGTATTAGATTAGATTACCTAGCCATTTATGAGATATTTCAGTTTAAAAATAATTATCATTCGATTGCTGGACAATGGTCATATTGTTTAAACATGGTCAAGTGTGCCTTGATAGCAACCATATTGTCTACGTTTGCAATTGTTTTCACAATGTTCTACTTTGGACGACGAAGTTAAATAACTTACATTTCAAATGGGTTATACTGAAGAAGAAAAACGTCAAATACTAAAATTACAGTAGAAACTTTATATAGCGAAATTGAAGGGACTGCTTAATTATTAAGAGTTATAGGCACTTGAAAAATAACAATACGCATATGTGTTCTGTAATATTTAGTTATTTTATATACATATTTTAACATCTACTTAGGAATATTTTAAATAATTATTTGAGAACTAGATTCAATGTTTCAAATAATCGGTCATTTTCTTTTGAATTTTTTTAGTATTGGCTTGTATTTTCACCATTTCTTAGAGAGGGGCATCTTCCCCAAGATACATTTTTTTTAAGCATAAAAAAACTGGACATTTTTACCGCTTTTTTATTCCACTAAACATCACGCGATGACAACGCCGCCGTAAGTTTCCACCGCGTTGAATTCAGTGTCACGCGATCGGTGCACCTTTAAAAATAGAAAACGCGTAACGATAATCTTACGGTACGATAACGGAGGCGCGTATCGCGCAAAGACACACGCTCCGTCTTAATAACGAGCGGTACCGCCAACGCGACGGGCGTGGGACGAACGGCATTACGCGCCTAGGAGTACGCGTGTCGCTGCTCGATTCGGGAAAACTGTCGTCGCCCGCTGCGAGCCCTAAATTCGATTTCGTGCGTTTCACACGAGCATAGCGGTAAGTTATATTTGATATCGCCGCCGAAAGGCGCTAATTATCCGATTTGTCGTTATCTTATCGCACGACGCCGTTTTCGGACACTTGAAAAGTCGACGCGAGGGGATTCTGACAGCTGTCATTCGCTTTCAGATGGCGAACGTGGTGTATTCGATCATTTGGCTCCTCATACTGGTCTTCATATCGTTCTTCGTGGCCGGTTTCTGCGCGGGCTTCTACATCCTCGTCTACCCGCTGACAGTCTGTATACCGGCGTTATCGGTAAGCGAACTATGTTTAAATTCCATTGAAATTTAATAAAATAAAAGTTCGTGGAAAGGAAAATAGTTTCCGTCAAAACAAGGGGCTTTCAATGTGACGTCACGAGAAAACGGCTTGTGACGTCGCCGCTGGAAGTTGTCAAACTAACCTAACGTCTTTTATCTATGTGCAGTGGTTTAAATTATACTATATAACTCTTTTATTTTAAAAATTGTGTCCAATAAATGTTTCATAATGATCGCCCATGATAGTAATGATAAACGTTACGTAACAGGTTTTTAATACAGCTGCGAGTGAGATCCCGGATGATCCTAATAAAATATTTCCGTGTTCTTTGATGATACTATAAAAATATTCTCGCATCGTTTCAAAAGCGGTAAACCATTCAAAAACATTTTCATTTCTTAATTTGAATTTGAACAATGGAAAACATAGCGATTTGAATTGAATCATTTTTATCCTTTTCGACATGCCTGTAAGATTAAACTGTTTTTGAAATTAGTTTTATAACATAGGTTCTACATTGGCACTTCCTTTATCATAAGTTCCAAGCTCAAGTGGGCTTTCAGAAGAACTAAAATTTCCTTCATTTAATGATCTAGATCTATGATGATAGATTCCAACTTGGATGATAATATTTGGTTTGCAGTATCTTCAGATGAATTTAAAATTCTTTCAGTTTTTTTTCTAACCAGTCGACATTTTACAGCTTTGCAATAGACCGAGTTCTCAACTAGCATAAAAAGCTATGTAACACATAGGATAAAATTGATATTTTAAGACGCTTTTTATTTTACTAGCCGTAAATGTAAAATGACCATTGCTGTGTACGCAGCTTAATGTTTAATTTTTCAGGGCCTGTCGGACCTGCTGCTGCAAGGCGTCCAATTTACTCACTACTGCGCAGACAAAATGATGAGCGGCGCGCCGCTGGGGTGACGGGCGCCCATGGGAAAATTTGAGGTTATTCAATTCCGTTGGGCAATCTGCGTAAGCGGCATCACCCTATAATGCGAATCACTAAATGTGTTCATTCTTAATATTATTATTATTATTATTATTAGAAATTACTTATAAAAACCGTACTAACTAATGTCATTATAATTTTAAACCAGAGTGCGTTTGTTTTATTTTCAATGGAAGTCCCCATTTTTTAAAATTAATTTTCAATTCTTTTCGAAATTCATCAATTTTTTTTCCCAATATTGTAATATATAACATAAGATTTGAAATTCTAAGCTGAACGAACCATTGTTGTGTAGTTTACCAATATCATGCCTTGTTTTTTTATTATTTTGCTAGGTAAATGAGATAGCAAGATCAGCAAACAATGAAATTTAATTGGTTGGGCATGAATAAAAAGGAGAAATTTCCAAAGTTAAAACTCTCCAAATTAATACTTAGTAAGTAGGTATTATGTTTTTCAAAAATAAATAGGACGCCAATTTAATTTAAATAAAGTATACGAAATATAATTCAATAAAATATAAATTATGGCGATTGCTCAGTTGACACTTTTTTTAAGGTGTGATTGCTGGACTGAGTTATAATAAAACTGACTTTTTTGTAACCCATATACGTTTTAGATTACATATCTTTTTTGATTCTAGACTTCTTTTCGTATCTTATTGCTTAGTTTTTGAAAACAAAAATAAAATCCACTTTCTCTTCATGTTGCTCACATTGTTCAGACTTCTACTAATTCTAACAATTCCAAAAACATCGCAATTACGAGAAACGAATTTTCAAAAAGTTCGGCACTTGTATCCTCATAATAATCCAAGCTAACATCCCTAATATTCTTTGAAGACAACAGCAAGCGCTCTTCTGACCCAGAGTGAATTATGGTGATGCGTTTTCTTTTATTTGAAGATGCACGTTTCAAGAAAAATTATGGATCTATTGTCTAAATCGAAATGAAAATGGATACTGTTGATTATATTAAATTAACTTTCATGGGGTGCCTTGTATAAGCATTAACCCAAAGATGAAAACCACAACATAGTTACAAATAGATAATTTTGCTTATATTTTTAATAAGAACAATTATTTTAGTATCTTTAATTAACTATGGTTAATTATAATCGCAAAAAGAAGACTTTGACAGTTAATAGAACTTTTAAAATTCATTTTAATGTGAATTATATTTTCTCTGTTTCTCCATTATATCTAAATGGTTCGACATAATCGCACAAAATTTGGAATTTGGGTGACTTGGAGAGCACTCGTTGTTAGTTTTCATACTGCCAATAGATGGGGCAACCGGTTTCTCATTAACGATCACAACTTTTTCAGTTATTAAATTCGCCCATTCTATTTGCTCATATCTCCTCGCCAATAGTTCAGACAAACTTAGAAATGTCACATTTCTAAGTTTAAATAAATAACTAATCAAAATTTAATAACTGTACCATCCTCATACGTATTCATAATAACGTTTTCCGTTGATTTTAAAACACCCGGTATATACATACACGTAAACAAAACCCCACCTTTCCTTAAAAAAAATAAATGTGAGCTGGGGCAAATGTCAGCGTTAATTATAAACGAATAATTGTCCTTACCGACTGGCAAAAGTGAATAAAAGAGGCGAAATATCCACCGAATCACCGGAAGGATTTAAACTTCACGCAACAAAAACAACACTGATGACGGTACGCGGGGAGAGACGTAGAAATACCGTACCGATGACCAACCAAAGACTGTTACGACACCTGAATCATAGGAATATTAATCCCCGTGTAGTCGAATGAGGCGCGAGTAGATTCTTCTTCGTCCGCCGCCGCCGCCTCCCGCGCCGACCAGCAAACAGTTTGGACTTGACCACAGTTGAGATTTGCTCTCCGTGTCGAACGGTGATTGACAAGTAACCAATTCGGATTACGTCAACTTTTGTTTCCCGTATTCACTGCATTTCGTTTTAACGCCGAATCGAAAATAGATGCTTTATTCAATTCTAACCTGAATGATAAGCAGGAGAAACTTTCTCTAAATCTTCTAGTACGGAATATTATATTTTTCTAAATCGCGCCATCTAACGAATGCGCATCGACACTTTTGTTTCGTTTTCTTAGTTTTCCGGAGTAACGCCAGATGGGGCACAAGTTGAAATTCTCTCTGACCGTTGGGAACTAAATTTGTGTCAATCGTTCATTTTACGAGAACCGAGTCAATCATTGGGCGATTTCGAAAAGGATCGAATTATATTTTTATTATTATTATTTCAATACTTTTTGATGGCAACTGTAAGCTATGTGTTTTTGTGTTTACATTCTCTGTCGTCTGTTTTAGTTAGTATAATATTTAGCTGTGTTCGCCTTTTTATTGTGTCATGATTCAAAATCAACATAGATGCTTCGTATTGGGTTGTACGAGTAATTCATTAATTTGTTTAAATTAAATACCTGCGTGGAAATAGATATTTAATGCAATATTCAATTCAACGCATCAGCAAATCTGCCGATCGCAACTCGATACTAAACAATAATTATAACATTAATCCCATTCCTTGTCCGTAGTCTGTCTATTCTTAAACCATTCAAATGAACCTTATTATGCAAGGCGAATTCGATTTGTTTTGGTAAGGTCGGTCGATCCTGTAACCAATAAGGTATAAATATTTAGTAACTAAAAGCGATTAATGTCGAAAACCCCTAACAAAAAAAGTTTTGTATATGTTATATTAAATTTAATCATTTTTTCATTTTTCACACCCTGCTAGTCATTTGAGCGAACTATTACTTACCTATTATTATGGTATCTTAAGATCTGGCCTCTCTATGTTATTGTTTTGCCATAACCTTTTATAATTATACATTTTGTGAGATGGTAATTATTATCGCTCTTGTAATAATGTGTAAATGGGTTTGACCCTTTAATAAATAAATAAACATGTACACGAATGTAAGTAGACACAGTAAAAAAACGAGTAAAAACCCGAAATCTCGTAATCACAGACATGTTTTTAAAATAAAGATTCTAAAAAAAACAGGCAAACAAATAAGCTTTAAAAGAAGAGGAGAAACGCGACCAGCTCCATCTAACGGCCGCATAACTATTTATTACGTACAACGCCGTTAATCGGCTCAGTGCACGCTTTGGTTATGAACTGTTTTTATACCACGCTGATAATACAGGAACTTTCGAAACCACAAAAAAGAAAGGGCCATCAATTCCTTACTCGCAGTCATTTCAAATTTCGTTGCCCACCAATAAGCCTAGCGGCGTTTAACAAACAACATGGCCGTTGGCAGTACGTCAATTCAACCGTTGTCAGTTGAAATGTTGTTAACTATTATCACGGCAGAATTTTTTGAACAAGTGTGTTACGAAAGAAAACGGTGCAAAGCGCAGGTTAGTGTGTCAAATTGAAGTAATTTTTTATCAAAGTGAACGTAGATCAGCTCCAGTAGAACCAGTTTGCGTTCCGATGGAAAGAATATTATCGAAATGCTGTTTTGCGCTTAAATTTGTGTTTTTTTTTTTATTTCTGCTGTCTATGGCATAGTGGTGGGGGCACAGACTGTAGTCTGTTGAATAGTTGGATTCGCCAGGTTTCAGTGATAACCCTCTTATCCGTATCCAACAGTAGACCGTGCTAGGTTTGGGAAAACTGCGATTTTTTTAAAATTAATATTTCTTTTGGTGGTGACTAAAAATTCGTTCCCATTGGAATTAAAAAAATTGTTTAACGCAGAAGTAATGTCAAACGGTACCCGGCACCTCCGCCAGAACTAAAACTAACAGGAATAAGAAGAGATGTCTCCAAAATAGCACTTTATTAACGGACAATAAGCGTAATATATTTACAATAGTCTCTCTAGAATCTCTATATTTTTTACAGGTTCTACTTGTGTCTTTTAAATCGCCAGCGTATTTGAACATTTCACAAAATATATAACGATGTCTGAAAAAATATACTGTTATTAAGTTTAAGTCAAACAGCTAATGGAACTACTCGGTGGCATTGAGTTGAGATATATCACTGTCAAGCTAGGGTTTTCCTTTGTTCCTAAGTCGGTGTTCTTATTAATCTGTCGTCTCTTCGTCCATAACGTTGATTATGGCACTTCGATCGCCCGAACACGACTTCCTTCTCATTAGTGCACCCTTAAGGTTGGTTTTGGTAGTAGAGCCCCAAGTCTCTTTGACTGCTTCAGAAGACGTCATTAATATGGAATAAGTGGCGTTTCCTTCTCCCTCTTTGCTGTGATGAATACCATATAAAAAGTAGACCAGCATTCCTAAAACATATTTTCCGTAATCAAAGTATTTTAAGCGAGTTGAATGTCTTACCAACAATCATCCAGACAAAAAACCGCAACCAGGTGAGTATATTTAAGTGCACCATAAATTCTATGTTGAAAAATATACTCAAAGCCGGTACGTAGGGCACCATCGGTACTTTAAACCGAAGCCCAGCCGAATTTTGGTGATGCGCTGTTATAACCAACAAACCTATGGATCGATGCGTGAAAATAGTGTTTTTGGAACCCCGATCACTCACTTGCTCCCATTACCAGAACGAAAAATGTCGCCAACATTAGCGTCCACCAAATGCCCTCTCTCAAGTCTTTGTTCGATACCTGAAAGAGAGTGCAGAGGGCGCAACTGAAAGTGGTGAAGACGAAAACTGCTCCAGTGACCACGCTACCAGGAGCGCAATTGCCAAAAATAGGTCCCAACCTTAAACCAACAACGTCAAAATCAAATTTCAAAATAGTTTTATAAACGACACTTTAGTCACGACTGACAAACGTCGCAATACCATCAATATTTAAAACTAACCAAAAAGAGCACCTGATCAGTGCATAACAAAAGTTATGGATGAGACTAAAAGAAAAAAATAAAATATGTTATTATTTTTTTAATACCCTATATTTTTGACAGTTTCCAACAGCCGTGATTTCATTTTACCTTAGTTGAAATGGAACACTCTGTATATTATACTTCTAATAATTATTCCTATTAATACTCGTTTATTTTTATTAAGCATTCCTAAACTAGGTGGTATACACATTTTTACGAACAGCATACTGAAAATTTTCAAAAAATTTAGAAAATATCACAAAAGATTGAGAACAAAATAAATATTACCCGAACGTGAAAGTGTAATTCTTTCAAAGAATAGCATTCGTTACATGTTAATACAAAAAAAAATCCAGGTGATTGAGTACAGAAGGGAGTCTTAATGCCATAATATACAAGGTGTTTCATTTAGAAATATGAAAGAAAATAATTTTAAATTGTTTCTTTTAGTCCTACATATAACTTTTGTATTTAACATTTTTTCTAAAACAATTAAAATATGAAAAAATATACAATAAAGCTATGCTAGCCCCCTATCTTAAGATTTTCTAACTTTTTATTAATGAAAATAACAAAACAAATAATTAGTTTTATGTTTAAATTAATCAGTTATCTGCGTAATGCAATTCAAATAATCATTTATTTTGTTGCGTAAAAAGTTGAAACAAAGCAAGATTTTTTTTTTGCCTCTCTGGAATTACTTTTATTTTTGTCAACTGACGGGGACAAAAAAAAAACGATAAAAAAACCATTGCCTTTTCTCTATAAGAGTTTGTTGTAACTTAGGGTAGAGAAAGAAGCGTGACGTCATTCCAAAAAGGTAATAATCAAGTAAATTTGACTTAAACATAAAATTTTAATGAGTCTAATTACCAGCCATATTGCACCCGCAGAGTGCCAGTGAGGTTGACAATTTCCGAGGCGGGGGTCGTAAGTTCCGAAGTGGAAGCAGATATTTCCGAACCGGGGGTGGACGTTGGCTTCGTTGCGGTAGTTTCAAAACTGGGCCTTCGATCAAAACAGCAACCGTAGCTAATTCAGTAGGAAAATTACAGATGGCATTACCTGTATCTTAAAATGATGACACTCGCGCTTACGATAGTGTAAGCCAACAGCGTCCCGATGGACATGAATTCTACCAGCTTTTCCAAGTCGAAAAACAGCGCTATGAGTGCCGACGACAAACCGGATATGACCATGTTAACAAGGGGTAGCTGCGTTTTCGTATTCACGTTGCCTAACAAAAACCCCATTAATTCAGTTGCCATTGGTACAATTATAGTAGTAATATGTAATTTAAGGAAACTTTGAAATTAACTAGGGGAAATTTTGTGGCAATAAGTTTTTCTCTCCAAAACGGTTCTGTATAAAGATGGACCATTTTCACTTGTTTGTTAAATATAAACAAAAACCGTCATGTTCTGAACGAATCCTTACAAGCACCTAAAAATGTATTATGTATCTATTTTAAAACTTTTTACGTCCCCCCCAGAGTTAATTAACCATTCTTTTCGCCACAGACTACTAAGCAACTCTATTTTGTGTTACCGCATCTCTTCTTCTTTTCCGCGATAACGCAACACCAACAAATTCCGAGAATACATCTGTGATTCAACTAATGTCGCTTCAGCCCGACAGATGTCGCGACGCAAATGACAATTAAAATTTGGAAAGTCTCACAATTAACCATAAAATTGTTTATTCTTTTCTCTTCCGTTATTAATATTGTCGCCAAATATGAATTTCAGTTTTTTGTTCGTTTTGGTGAGTTTGATTGATGTAATGAGTATACAATCTTAAAAAATATTCCTTGCTTGTTGCTATGTTTGTTGCAGTGACAATTGGCGAAAATGGAAGGTAATGAAATAATCCCTCTCCAGTCGGACTTACCCAAAAATCCAAATAGGAGTCCATCGACGGCCATGGCGTAGAGACAACGGGGCAGGGAAAATAACGATCCGAAAAGAGTGGTGGTCATGCCGCAAATTGCACCCAGTGACACGACATATTTAATCCAGTGCATGCCGACGTGTGAGAAAGCTTCTGGAAGTGCGGCACTGAAATCGTGTGGGTCTTAAACTACACCAAGCTGACGGTAAGTGCCGTCTACCTCGGATTAATTTCGTAATACGGCACCAAGAGAGTTAACGCCGCCGATACCATAACGTAACCGAGCATCACCACCCCCATGGATATTATCGTCGCCACGGGTATGGAAAACGAGGGATTTTTGGCTTCCTCGCCCGATGTGGCGATGCTGTCGAACCCCACGAACGCGTAAAAACACGTCGCAGCCCCTAAAATAATTGTAATGATATTTATTACGCGTCAGGAGACGCATTTCTTCCCCATTTATGGAAAATGGGGGTTGATGGCTTAGGTTTACTTCGATTCTGGTAACCAAGCCTATTTTAATTTTGCCATTGGCTACTAGGTGGCGCGGTGTAAGACTAGCGCATCCGCCAAATAAAAAAATGAATGGCGTCCGGCTTGGTTAATTTAAAAAGATTTATGAAAATGTCTTAGTTAAATGAAAATTTCTGTAGTACTAGACGCACAATTTATAAAATGTATTTTATTTGAAATCGACCTTAAAAATCTTCTAATGAAATTGAACTGAAAAATCAAGGCTTTGTTTAAAGTTTAAGGTTTTTGGAACTGCAACGCTACCTTGTATTACTTACGTCATTAAAAATGCAATAGTTATGGCTATTTTGAACTGCAATAACAAAATATAAACTTGAAGGTGGTTTGAATAACACAAATTAGAATGTATTTGTAGATTTTTTCCAACTTTTGAAAGAAACTCACAAAAAAATAATTCCAGAAATCTATTTTTGGCAAAAAATCAACTGTTTTGAATTTCTCCTATATTCAGTAACTATTCTGCGCTACTGTCAATTTTCTAATACAATACATACAATACAATACATAAGATTTGCCGATTAACTATAAAAGCCAGACATATTGAGTTGATGGCAATAGAGCCGTGTTAAAGATATCAGAAAAATACGGCTTCAACAACAATATTTTTTGAATATTTGAAAGTTAAAGGCAAGCACAAATTGATATACTCAGAAGTTCAAAATACTTGGCTCTTTATTATCACACTTTATTTTCAGGTCAATCAAAGTGCTGCCATCTTTGGCTTATAAAATTAATTGAAGTATACTTATCGACGTAAATCAGACAACAGCAAACTTTATGAACTAAAAATGGAAATTTGAATGTTTTTCAATGTTTAAAAACAGAAAAGAAAAAAAATTGAACTGCGTTATTTTAAAGCATGAAATTACACATTTTGGTAACATTTTTTGGTGATTGAAAAATAGACAAAAATAAGAGACTTTTTTTAACTTTCTGTGACAATATATCAAAATAATACGAACTATGATAAAATGGAAAAATTACATAGAGAGAATTTAATTATATATATTTATAGAATAACTCGATGAGTTATGATTTATCCATAAAACAAAATAAAATCATATAATACCAATTACAATCCACCTAAATAAATTTTTGTTCACTAAATCGATATTGGCTGCATTACTTCAGTTTAGGTGTAACTGGAGAGACCTACCTACCTAGGTACATTTGATTTATTAGCAGAATCCCCATTTTCAGTGCAAATCTAAAGTTGTGGGTAAATCATTTAAAATGTAATTTGGCGTATAAACTTGGAGGAGTCAATAATTGTTAATCTCGACTTTAGACCGCTTAAATCACTTACTCCTTTGGAGTTTACCTGCGATCACTCCACCGAAACCGAAGGGCAAAAATCCACCACTCCGTGAGGTCCAATTCTCCTGGTCAGCGTAATAGAAACCCATGACAATCACCAAAGCCATTACCGACAGATTGATAATGGTCAGCATGCTGTTCACTACCGCCGAGCCCTTCACACCAATGCCGAGGAGAAAGGCGTACGCAATGCACACGGCAAACGCCAAGAAATCCGGGTACTTCCCCAACAGTTGCTCGTGAAGCTCCCCCGTGGCAGCAATCGTAGCGTTACTTATTACTCCTCCAAAAAGGGAGTCGATGTAACCGCTCCAGGCTCTAGCGACAGAAGCGGCACCTAAAAATCGGTTAAATGAAAATAAAAACGTCACGATGTTTACTATCGGTGGCGCCATCTGTCGCCTTTAAGCGGGTTACGTTAACTTGTGGCCTCAAAATCAGGGCTACCACCGGCTCTTCTTCTTTTCTGCTCTTACGCCCCATGTTAACATAATCCGTGACATAACTAACGTCGCTTAGTCGCGATAGATGGCGCTACCGAGTGTAAAATCCCACCTATCATATGCTCGAGCAGTATGTTCCAACCAATCACGAAAGCCCAAAATTCGCCGATGCTTATGTAAGTGTAGACGTAGGCAGAACCGGCTTTAGGCACCCGGGTGCCGAACTCTGCATAGCACAGGGCCGATAGCAAACTGGCAAATCCGGCCAGCAGGAACGACAGGATAATACCGGGACCGGCTATGTCTTTCGCCACCGTGCCTGTGAGGACGTATATGCCGGCTCCTACCATATGGCCGATACCTAGAAACATAATCGTGATTTAAATCGTTCAACGTAAAAGCGTTATCACAAATAAAAAGTAATACACGATTCTTTATAAAAATAAGACAAATAGGATGATAACATATACTTTATGCTTCTAATCTATCTATAATGAAAATTAAATGCCGGAAGATGCTGCAGAATGACTTACCCAAAAGGGTGATGTCGAAGGTGTTCAGACATCGATTGAGAGGGGTTTCCATCAAATCCGAGGGCAGTTGCTTCGTTCTATTCATTTTCGTGCAGATGCCGGACATTACGTGTTTGAGGATCATTTTGCGAGAGCCTGGCATGATATCTATCGATTTTCTAAAAAACCCAATCCAACCAGACCAGACACTTTTAACCTTCGTTACTTTTATTTAGAAGAAACCCGCAACTCTAGGGGTTCAAAATATTAGCTTACCCTTTTTTAAGAAAGCCGAAGACCGGGACGGTACGAAAAGTCTTGGAAAAAGAAGAGATAAACCAATAAGACGAAAATTTGTGCTGCTTTTGTGCAATATGTTCTCAGACGGTCATCTTTACTAAACCATTCAGCTCCCGACTGCCAGGAATATCGTAGGTAAGCGCATGCTTCGAAAAATCGATACTCGACGGCGAGCTGACCGTTTATTTCCATCGCTTGATCCTTTCAAATCATATATTTTTATTGGTATAAAGTGGCAACATAAGTTAGCAATGTGCGAAACCACTTACATTTAGGACGGTGTTTACTAGTATAATACGACCAAAAATATAGTGCATTTATTGTTTTGACGTTTCAAGTATTTTGCAGTAGTTTCACTGCAGACCTTCGCAGGACCGTGGTAAAACCCATCTCCCGACATGGACCGTAACGAATATTTCTTAAAATTTGAAATTTTTATTTGAAACGTAAATGGACCGTTTTAAATTTGCTTAAGCATATTTTAAAATCAGGTGATATGTATTGTTCTTTAGAGTTTAATCTAAATTGCAATATGTTCATATATATTACTTTCAGTAAGTACGTATTTATGTACCTGATTCTCGAGCTTTGACCTTGCGATGCACTTTTGCGGCTCACCCTGTATATTTTTGAAAAATTGTCAAGAATAAAAGTTTATGGAGTGGTTTCTTCTGCGTCCTCGGGTTCAAGAATTTTTTTGGTCTTGTAAACGGTTTTTGAAAAATTGTCTCTTTTGTAGACCCGCGATTTTTATTTTTTTAAAAATACTTCCCTACCCCCAGCCTCCCCATTTTCAATAGGTTCCGTCACGGGGCAAATGTGCCAAATATGAAGTCGATTGCTTCAAATTTTGGACACTTATCGTGTTTCATAGCAAGGTCCGAAAAACAGTCGAAAATCGCGAAAAAAAGATGGATACCGGCGTCGGATCAGGGCCATTTCTTATAAGCCTATGTGCCTCGTGGAGGGTTAAAAAGGAAGCAAATTTCAATTTTGTAGCTCCAACGGTTCGAAAGTTATTCAGGAAAAACCAAAAGACGAGAACGGAGAACGAACAGACAAAAAAAAATTTTTTCGACGGTGATCATTTCTGTACCAACGGCGATGTCATAGGAACTACCGTTACGAAGATATAAAATTTTTATACGAGCGCAGATACTTTCGAAAATTCGATTTCATCGATTTTCGGAAGTAACAATATTGCATTCGAAAAATCATCGCTGGGCGGGGCAAGTTCGTAGGGCCTAGCACGAAACAGCTTTTTATTATAAAGAGTAAAGTCTTTTGGATTTTTGCCTATAATTTGAGGGCTTGTGATTCTACTAATATCTGTCTAAATAAATAAAATACGGGGAAAATAAAAAAAATGTTCTAGATAAAGTGCCCTCTAGTGAGAGATTTCTCAAACACTTTTATTTTCTAACGATTACTTTTACTAAATCAGGGCTGCGTGTAAAATACCAACTTATTCTGTTTCTGAACACCCTGTATACTGTAACTTTTTTTCTACTGTCCACTCAAAATCCACGACGTTTTTTTGCGTCGCATTTGCAAAAGCAAATCCGCAACATTTTCATTGTTTACCCTTGCAAAGTGTTTACTTCAAGTTTACCACTGACGTCGGAGAAACTGTAATTAGTTAACGGTATGACCGAGAGTTATTTCCGTCAAACAGTGGATATTAAAAACATCAGCGTGACTTTTCCCATTTTGGATTGTAATCGGACTTAATAAAGACTCGTTTGTCATTAACTTCACAATATCCCCGATATTTCTTTATACAGAGTGTGTTCTAATTAAATTTCAATAAATAAGAAGACGATTTTTGAGTCCACTTTAAAAAGAAAACTTCATACGAACGTATGTCCCAGACGTCGCCGCTTTTCAGATACAGAGCGGTAAAATTTTTCAAAAATAAAATATTTTTTTTAATGTAGGTAGTAAAATGAATATTTGCAATTCCAATTCCAATTCTAATTCCAATACGGGGTGTATGTGGCGCAACTTATTTTAATAAAATACAAGCTCTACAAAACAAATTCTTTAAAATTTTATTTAATCATGATCGTCTTACGCATACAGAAAATTTGTATAGAGAATTAGACATTTGTAAAATAGACAAATTTCGTAAACTAGAACAATGTGAATTTATGTGTAAGGCGATAAATAAAATACCAAAGTTTAACATGAAGATTTTATTTAATAAAGACGTTCACATGTATGACACCAGATCTCATAACGATATTTACAATTATAATATCAAAGCTAATAAAGGACTTTCCAATCCAGTATTCCAAGCTGCATGGACTTATAATAAGCTTGCGGAAAATTTAAGAAATATAAATAAATATATTAAATTTGTAAAACAGTTAAAAATTCACTTGAATGTAAATTTAATATAGATACTCTACAATGTATAATAGTAATACGATTAAGTAATGGCTTGTATACTTACCAGTTTACTGTTTAAAGAATTCTTAATTATTTGTTTTTGTAACTGTCTATTTAATAAATGAAAATTGTGTACTACGTTTTTTTAAAAATACACATCGATTGTACGCCACTGATTTCTCCTAAAATAAAAATGATTAAATTATTCTTACAACCTCGAATCACTTTATAAAAAAAAAATGATGAGGTCTATTTGTTTCATTCGTTGTAGTAGAAGTCAATGACAAAGTTGGAATATTACTATATATTTAGACCTATCTTATTCTATTATGCCATAGAATGCATAATAACTGGGCATTCCAACTACAGAATCTAAAATAGTTAATGTCACGTATTTGATAAGCGCCACTTTAGTCACGAGTTTGATTTGGCACCAGCAGAGCGCACGACATTTTTACCTAATAGCACTAATAAATTCACAGAAGAAGAAGAAGAAAAATTCAATATAGTTGGTGTTGTTTTAGATATTTTGAAATCGGACATTCGTTCCCAATCCGAACTTGTATTTTGAATTCGTTAAATTGACAGATCGGCGTGACTTTCTCAGTAGAACATGCTCATTAACTTTTTTTCATATTTGGTAAAGTATCCAATATCTACGCTCATATAAAAATTTTATATCTCGGTAATGATAGGTCGTATGGGATCGCCGTTGGCACAGATATGATCACCGTCGAAAAAAAATATTTTTTTTGTCTGTTCGTGCTCCGTTCTCCGTTCTCGTCTTTTGGTTTTTCCTGAATAACTTTCTTTCATCTTTTTTTTCCACTGTTTTTTGGACATTGCTATGAAACACGATAAGTGTTCGAAATTTGGAGCAATCGACTTCATACGTGGCACACATCTGCCAGTTTTGCCCTGTGACGGAACCTATTGAAAATGGGGGGCTGGGGGGTCGCGAAGTATTCAAAAAAAATTAAAAATCACGTGCGCAAGGGTCTACATAAAACATCAATTTTCCAAAAACGGTTTATGAGACCCAAAAAATTCTTGAACCAGAAGACGCAGAAGATACGGCCCCATAAACTTTTATTCTTGACAATTTTTCAAAAATATACAGGGTGCCCCGCAAATCCAAAAAAAAATGTAGACATAATATTTTATTGCAAATTGACTTCAAAATCTGCGTTATTGCGACAAAATCACGCGCGCACAATTTTCGACATTCCAAATCATGTGAAACTTGTCTCTTACATCGACAGACATACAGACCCGGTTCTTGATGAGCAAATTTAATTTCGTATAACGGCATAGTCAGCAATCTAGGATTAATATTAGATAGTGACTTGCGGTATTCTATCCGTTTGAAGAAAAAAAAACAAAAATAATCTGTGTTAATGTCCTCAATTTTTATTGAAACGTTTAATGTTAAATTTATGTTACCGATATCCAAAACCAAATTGACCACGTCCTGATAGATGGTCGTTTTTCCAGTAATATTGAAGATGTCAGAAGCATGCGGGGGGCAGATAGTGACTCAGATCATTTCTTAGTAAGATCCAAATTGAAAGAGAAACTGTCCACCAAAAGATCAAGCACGAAAGAAACGAGGAAAAAATGGGACATAAACAAATTTACAAGACTTCAAAAGGTACAAGAATATAAAGAAGCAATTAGGAACAAAATGCAAATGCTACAAACTGAAACTACTGAAGAAAATGTTGAAGTCGAATGGCAACAATTAAAGACGATAGTAAGAGAAGCAGCTAGTGAAACTATAGGAACAACAACAGGGAGTCAGAAAAATGGATGGTACGACCAAGAATGTAAAAATATATTGGATGAGAAGACTAGAAAAAGAATGACTTTTTTGGAGAACCCCACGAATGAAAACAAGGAGATATTTAATATAGCACGTGCCAAAGCCAGAAGACTACTGAGAAAGAAGAAAAAGGAACATTTGGAGGAAAGAGTAAGAAGAATAGAGGAAAACAACACGAACAACCAAGTAAGAGAATTTTATAGAGGAATAAGAATCGGAAAAACAGGACAGACGATAAGAGAACTAAATTTTGTAGAAGATAGCACCGGAAGACTACTGACGACGGAGGATGATATAATTCAAAGATGGGGGCAATATTTCTCTGAACTGCTTAATAGACAAGTAGATGGAAGTGACAAAGACACGCACTTCTATACTGCAGAATTGGAATTGGAACCGCCTACACTAGATGACGTTAAGAAGGCTATCAACAAATTAAAGAACTACAAATCCCCAGGGGAAGACGAAATTAATGCAGAACTCGTAAAGAACGGAGGAAATGAACTACACCAAATGATACACCAGAACATATCAACTATATGGAAACGCGAAAAGATGCCAGATGAGTGGAACAGTAGCATAATAATACCAATCCATAAAAAGGGAAAGAAAGCGGACTGTCGTAACCATAGAGGAATATCATTGGTAAATACCACCTATAAGATAGTGACATTGATCCTTGTGCAGAAACTAACACCATATGCCGAGGAAATATTAGGAGATTACCAATGTGGATTCCGACCGGGGAGGTCTACGACGGATCAAATCTTTATAGTCCGCCAGATTATGGAGAAATGCTGGGAATTCAATAAAGACATACACCAAATATTCTTGGATTTCCAGCAGGCCTACGACTCAGTCAACCGGGATCAGCTATGGTATGCAATGAGGGAATTGGGAATCCCATTAAAATTAATAAGTTTAACTAGAATGTGCGTAGGGGGCTCCAAAGCAAAAGTACGAATTGGTGAGACTACGTCAGAAATATTTGAAATACATACAGGCCTGCGACAGGGAGACCCTCTATCCCCTTTGCTTTTTAACCTGGCTCTGGACTGGGCCATGAAGAAAATCTCTCCCCAAATAACACCGGGTTTCGCAACGGATGGTACGAAACTTATGTTAGCCTTTGCCGATGACATAGATGCTGTGGCACATAATACTATAGATGTTAGAGAAATATTCTCCTCTTTTGAAAATCATGCTCAAAGAATGGGATTAAGGATCAACGAAGCTAAAACTAAATATATGATAACGTCTAAGAACCCCAGGCAAAGAATACGGCAAAATATTACAATAGATAACTACAATTTTGAAGTCGTAAAAGAGTTCAAATACCTAGGAGCGACAATAACAGATGACAACAGGAACGAAAAAGAGGTAGCCGCACGTATTGCATCGGCAAATAGGGCTTTCTATGCGCTATCAGGATTCCTTAGATCCAAAATACTTACAAGAGGAACTAAGATAAAAATATATAAGACCATAATACGCCCTGTTTTATCATACGGTAGCGAAACGTGGGTCCTAAACAAAAGAGAAACCGACAAGCTTCTGGTCTTCGAAAGAAAAATACTACGAGCGATTTTTGGATCAACCAGGGATATTGTAACAGGAGAATGGAGACGTCGAAATAATAATGAACTTGAACAACTATATGGTGTGGAAAACATAGTAAGATGTATTAAATCTGGTCGACTGAGATGGGCAGGGCATGTTGTTAGGAGCAATGATCAGAGACTCTTAAATATCATATACTGTGAAAGGCCAGAAGGAAAGCGATCTGTTGGCCGACCTAGAAGGAGGTGGAAAGACGCAGTTACGGAGGACGCGAGGAAAATGGGTATAACCCTTTGGGAATTGGAAGCTCAGGATAGACAGAGCTGGAGGACAATAGTGTATGCGGCCAAGACTCACCCAGAGTTGTAGTGCCAAAAAGAAGAAGAAAAAAAAAAATATCCTAATTAGATTATAAAATTTATAAAATTACTATTCAAAAAAATTCTCGTCGAAATCTTTGAAAGGAGCGTCTTCTATTGGCGGCCTTTTTTCGTTAAAATTCTTCCCGAAATGTTCCTCCAGAAGGTCCCGCGGCCGCGTCTATAAAAGCGAACGCTGATCGTTTTTTCCCGAAAATTACTTAAAATACCTTTTTCTCCATGACTTCGTCGAATTTGAATCCCTTGTAAAACGCGATCGTTGACAGAGCTCTCACGGATCGAAATCTTTGATTCGGAACCGGCTCCAGAAGCCGCCGCAACAGATCTCTACTCTCTGCCTCCAGCTCGACATCGTCCGGCAAGGACACTTGGTCGTTTGACTCGATACCTTGATGCTCGTATGAAGGAAACTGGAAAAAAAAACATTTTTTCACTAACCAAAACAAACCAAGGCTGAAATGTCCGAGAATCAAAAAGGAAACAGTGACAAGGTTGTTTAACAAAGTCAAAGCTAACAGAGTATAAAAAACAGAGAAGGTAAACGAAATCCTCTAAAAGGAGGACAACAACTACCCAAAAACAGCCCAAGAAAACCTGAAAAAGCTTACGCAAGCCCACTTCCCTACAGCAACCGCTACCATTAGCTATTAACCAATTTCAAGCATTGAAATCACCAGAGAATAGGAAATTATATAACAGGTAAGGGTTCTATGACTACTAACAGTAGGCAGAATGTCACACCAGAGACAGAGATCCAGCAAATTCTATTACGAGAGGGCTAGAAGGGGTTAAAGTTCCAATGACGACCCACTGCAAAAGAACGAGCAACCAACACTTTAGAAGGATGTGTGGAAAAAGACTAGCGTGTTTGTGCATTACTGAAAGAACTACTACTGAATATTCCACCAACACAGATTTAAATACAAGAGAGAAGAAAATTGTACACAGGCTGCTCAAAAACCAAAGATGGACGAAAACAAAACTTTCTATTCCAATGGGTCGGTAAGTTATCCAAGTGTCCTTAGCAGCGATGACAAAGTGTAAAGAAAACATGTGGTTAGTTTTGGACATTGCTTGAGCTTGAAGTTTGAAGCTGGGAAACAGATGACTGTTGAAGGCCAATTCGCAGTGAGCAAATTCAAAACGAAGACCGCGTGCATAGCCAAGAAACCTAAATTATAACAGAAGCAAGTTTGAAAATGAATGAAGAATGAAGAATACTAAAAAAAATTCTGTTTCTGTTATTGATAGGTTTCTTGAGCTCCTTGTTCAATTTTAAAACTGTGAGATAATTAAAACGTTTTATTTTTGTAATAACCAGTCTTAAGTGCTTAAATAAAAGCTTTTCAGCAAAAAAACTATTTTTCTTGCCCTAAAAAAACAAAAAATTTGAAATGGATGATTTTTAATTGTCCTATATAAAATTTCTTCGAAATAATAAGTCAATATAACCACTCATTAATCGCAAACTTACAACCGAATTACGAAGTCAATCTGCAAGGTCGCCGATATAAACGAGATCAAATAACAACCAGAGCCAACTAAAAATGAAATAGTGACGCCATATGCACCGCGACAGTTATATAACTAGAGAAAAAACACGTGCAGCGACAATATACAGTGCGCGCTAAACAAACGTCGCAACTAATAACGAATTGTGGGCTGTGCCAAAAACATGATGCACTTATTGCATTGACGTTTTAAGCATTTTACAGTACCTTAATCCGACAGATGTTTAATCTGCATCGCTAAAATCTAATTCTGACACCGTAATCCTAAAAGCAGATCAAGGAAATGCTACGGCGGGCGTGAACACAAATTAATATCAGGAAACGATTCAAGATATTCTCACAGACGGATCGTATTGTTAAATTGAAAAATATCCTACGTCATCTATTTTAAATCTGTCATTTAGGCTTCTTCTCTGTCTAAATACATGAGAGAGCCTTAAGACTCAGCATCGCGAAGCCGGACATGCTCTGAAGAAGTTATCCGGATGATTGGCGAAACGTTAGCAAATTCGAGTCAACCAAACCGACGCAGGAGGAACCCATAAGTTTTATAAAAAGCATTTTTGTCTTGTGAGCCAGTCATTGTTCTTTGTCCTTAAGAGTTTAATCTACGTTGCAGTATATCCTACGGGGGTATTTGACTGTGATCCTTCCAATAAGTACGTATTTATGTAGCTGATTCTAGAGTTTTGACCCTACGAGGCTGTTTTCACTGGAGAGTTCAAAGGGTTAGAAATGATTTGGTCTGAGTTGAAAGCGCATATAAGAAGAAATAACACTGTACCTAGCTAAAATGAAAAATGATACTCTATTATAATTATATTTAATATATTATATATTAACAACGATGTAACAAATGTAATGAAATTTTGTACTAATAACGAAAAAGATTGATACTTATCCTGCTTGCTAAGACGGTCCTGGTTAGGGTTTGCTCGGCAGTATGTTCTATAAGGGCCAAAGTTAATCACGGGATCGGTTGTAAAAGCACTATACTTCTGGTTGAAGTATATCAAATTTAAAAACTTAGAAAAGCTACTGCTTGCTGTTTCCCAAGTGGACAAGAAACTGATCGGATTGAACTTATCTTGAATGCACGACGCCTCGGGTCAAACTCTGTCAATTGGTTTACGGAACCATATACAAAGGCATTAAGTTTTGCTAAGCTGTTAACCATTAAGCAAGCGATTAGCGCAGATACTGTTAGGTTTTATGTCGCAGCGTATTCTAGTATACGAACGAGCATACGGCTGCCATTTTTACGAAGTCGTGGTGTTCATTGGCGGTTCTTTCGCATAACTTCCGTACAACTACAATTTAGTGTTCATTAATGTGCCGTAAAATACGTTTACTTTTTTAAAAGTTCCGCCGGATTAACATACAGGGTGTTAATTCTCAACCAAAGTCCAAAGTACAAAACAAACGTGTTTCAGAAATCTGACATTGCAAAATAGAACAGAATCACAAATCTTCTGAAATTGTTGCTCTTGTTTTAAGTCGGTAAGTGTTATCGTGTAGCCACAAATCGACATTTTCATTCTCGCCACTTCTAATTCAACGCAAAACTTCCCAAACTGTAAAACAACCAATTCTTCCACATTCTGAATTATTTTTTCTTCTCTGTGCATGTTGATGAAATATTTCTATTGCTTGATCTGCATTTTTATCTGCGCTCTTCCGTAGCAAAAATGCATATCGCGATATTCAACTCCAAAGAAGGCTAAAACAATTTTATCGGCAAAGTTATTATACGAGGTGTTTTCAGAAAGTAAAGTGACTTTACTTAAAATAATTCACATAATATTATCAGTATCACTATCGCTATCATCGCCTGTTCTAATTATTATTTGTTCTATAATTTGCAATATGGATATACGATTGTTCTGCTTTTTCTAGGATGAATGTTTGGAACTAGTTTGTTTTTAAACCAAGTTTCAAATAAATCAGCGGTGGTGGCTTTGTGGTAATCCAGAGAAGAATCTTTAATCTTTTCCGCAGATAGAGAAAATCCATTTGGAATCCAACCATCTTTAGAGCCAGCATGCAAAATAGTTATTCTTTTACCTATTTTTGATGGCGCGTCTGTTTTACACTTATCAGTTGAGTCAACCCAACCCTTTTCCGGGGTATCATAAATGTCGAAACAGGTTTCGTCTAAGTAAATAATTGGCCTTTGTTGTTATCTATAAATCCTAATTTTTGATGTTGGAATTTTCGTCAATGTGGCCGTTTCTTCTAAAGATGCTTGCTTGCTGGAATCACGTTCAATGAGAGTCAAATAAATATTGTTTATAACTTCCTTAGTGTTTTCTACATTTGGGCGGGAGCATCTCGTGAGATACACTAGACTCGCACATATTTTGCATAATTCGCACACGATTCAACACACGCTGTATTAATTAATTACTAATAAACTTAAACTAAGTAATATACCAAACCAAAGAATATTAAACATAGGTAGGTATAAAATTATTTTCTATTACGGACCACAATTTTACCTGAATTTATAAGGTTGTTCGGAAAGTCATTTCGTTTTTTCCCGTCAGAGGACTTAATTACGTTTTTTCGAAACCAACTTCACACTTAAGCCGCATAACCATTATATGTCTTGAGAGCTGATATTGCAAGGCTTGTGTGTGAAAAAGTTCTATTAATTCTTGGAGCCCTTTTAAATATGGAGAGCAATAAGCAGCATTTTCGTCATATTTTACTTTTTTACTTCAGAAAAGGTAAAAATGCTGTCCAAGCGAGAAAAAAATTCACGGATGTGTATGGAGAAGGCGTGTTAACAGTACGCCAGTGCCAGAATTGGTTTGCAAAATTTCGATCCGGCAATTTTGATGTCGAAGATGCACCACGGTCTGGAAGGCCGGTCGAAGCTGACAAAGATGCGATAAAGGCATTAGTTGATGCAAATCGGCGAATAACCACACGAGAGATCGGTGAGAGATTAAATTTGTCGAATTCGACTGTTTATGGCCATTTGAAAGGCATGTGCTTAACCTCGAAGCTCGATATGTGGGTGCCCCATGTCCTTACGGAGCGAAATTTGTGTCGTCGCGTTGACGTGTGTGATTCGCTCCTCAAACGTCAAGAAAATGATCCATTTTTGAAGCGGATTATTACTGGCGACGAAAAATGGGTTGTATACAACAATGTTAAATGCAAGAGGTCATGGAGCAGAAAAGATGAACCGGCTCAAAGCATGTCAAAAGCATTCACCAAAAAAAGGTGATGCTCTCCGTTTGGTGGGATGTCAAAGGAATTGTTTTTTTTGAGCTTTTGCCGGACAATACAACGATTAATTCAGAAGTCTATTGTCATCAACTGGACAAATTGAATGATTCACTTAAAGAGAAGGGGCCCGAATTAATCAACAGGAAGGGTGTAGTGTTCCACTAGGATAATGCGAGACCTCACACAAGTTTGGTCACTCGCCAAAAACTTTTACAGCTTGAATGGGACGTACTGCAACATCCACCATATTCTCCAGATCTGGCGCCTTCCGACTACTATTTGTTCCGGTCCCTGCAAAATTTTTTGGATGGCAAAACCTTTACCTCAAATGAAGATGTCAAAAACCACCTGAACCAGTTTTTTGCCAGCAAGGACCAAAACTTTTATGAGAGGGGAAATGTGTTACTGCCAGAAAGATGGCAAAAGGTGTTGAACCAGAATGGCCAATATATAATTTAATAAAATATTTATTCATTATACGAAAACTGTCTTTCATGTTCCCCAAAAAAAAACGAAATGACTTTCCGAACAACCAAATTCCGAAACTTTAGGTAATAATCTTGTTGCATTGTATGTTAATGAGCATCCTTGGATAATCCCATTCAAAAGCAATTGGTCACTTTGTTATATCTATGAACAGACCTTACCTGATTTACCTGTAA